GACTAAAGCTGTGCAGCTCCTCAACCTGCCCGAGCGCAGGACAGAGGTGAATCCAGGTACCCGGTGCCAGGTGGCTGGATGGGGAAATTTTGCTCCAGAGGAAACACATTCAAGAACACTGCAGGAAGTGGAGATGATAGTGCAGAATGACCAGAAGTGTGAGGAGCGCTTTACAACGTATAATCGTGCTACTCAGATTTGTGTGGGAGACCCAAATATTAAAAATACTTCGAATAAGGTAAGAGGAGCCATATGTCACAATTGGCTTTGTGGGAAAGAGTGTTTGGGACAGATCTAGTACCATGAGACTCAAACATCATGGATTCCTTACTCCCGCAGGCTGTTATGTTTCTCCCAGAAAAGAGAAGAAGGGAACAGTCTGAGCTTGGAGGTTCTAAGCTGATACCTTTTTACTAAGGGGCCTCTGGTGAAGGAAACCCCACTGGAAGTTTCAGTTTGCAACACAAGACATCAGCTCATGGCACAGGCATGAGAAAAAATTTTACCTGGTATGCAGGAAATATAACCTCCTAGGAGACTGAAGCCCTCCTTGTCAATGAGCTCATCATCTGTGCTCATTGTCAGACTTGGTCATCAGCCACCCTGGCCAGTAATGAATGGTCCTCACAACTCTACAGGGGTGAGGTCCAGACCTGGGGATGAAGAAAAAGGCTGGATCAAAGAGTGAAAATGTTCATAGTCAGAGCTCAGCAGCTAAGAGCCTATAGTTCCCTCTAATCTCTCACAAGCACACCTTAAAATCAATACTGAATGAGACAGTTTGGGATAATGGAAGTGAGAAGAGAAGTGGTGCCATGGTTCACAGACTCACTCTCTATTTACAGGGTGACTCCGGAGCGCCCCTGGTGTGTAATAATGTGGCACAGGGCATTTTCTCCTATGGACGTAAAAATGGAATGACACCAAGTATCTTTACCAAAGTCTCATGTTTTCTACACTGGATAAAGAAAACCATGAAACAGAGCTGACAGCTCACAGCAAAGTAAATCCCCTCTATCAGCAATTGTCTTACCTGAATCTGGGTCTAGAATCACTCTAGAACAGATACCAGGAACTAAATAAATTTTTCATCTCAGTTGAAGGCTAGTTTTGTGTTTGCTCTCTTACTTTGGTTCATGGGGACCAACTCTGTGGTAAGCAGGACAGTGACACAGTTCTGATGATTTCTGCCATCTCCACTCCTTCTCCACTCAATACCTTTCCAAATCTGCTCTCAAAACTGTTAGCAAGTTCCTCCTTATACACTTTAGCTTCTCCTCAGCCTATCTTTTTGCAAGGGCTAAAGTTAAGCACCAACTGAAGAAAAAGGGAACATCTTTCTTCCTAAGGCTCCGGGAACATGTGACTTCCTTTGTGACACATGTAGAGGGGAAGGTGATGATTTCATGGGTCCTGGAGTTCAGCCAGGAACCACTGAGGTAACGACTGGACCACATCAGGCTTGGTAGAGGAATGGTATTCCTGAGCAGAACATTTCTCTCCCACAGCTTTAGGGATGCACATGGAATGCAGGGTAACCTGACTGACTCTTCACCTTCATCTGAAATTTTCTTCTCCATTCTGCTCTAAGATCAAGGCTTATCTTAGCTTACAGCCACATGGCTGCCCATTTTTATCCCTCGAAGAATTGTCACTGTCTAACAACTTCTCTCCTTAGGAGGCCACACTGTTTTGATAATGTAACCTCTTCAAACCTCCCAATCAAGGACCAAAAACCTGTCTCTCTTCACAAGTTAATGAAACCTTTGTTCAGAACTGGGTGGTGGCCTTTATTCTGCTTAGCTATTGTTCTGACTGGACTTAGGATCCCCTTCGTGCCCCACAACTACATATACTGGTTTAACTCTTTATTCATGGCATGAGTTTCACTGGAGTTGGTAGACTGAAATTTCTTTATTAGAATTCCAAGAGCCTTTCCTGGCTTTACAAATACAATCTCTCCTCCTGACTGTGACAAGACTGGAATGGTTTCTGTATTAGTGTGTACAAAGTGCTAGGCCAGAGCCCAGGATTATCTCATCTGGCAAGGCACTTGCCAGGCAATCACAAGGTACTGAGTTCAGTCCTAAGTACAAAACGAAAAAGAGTTCTAGGTTTTAGGTTCTATGATGAACATAATCATAGATCCCAGTGAAGCTGGAATGGTCACAGGCTTTCCAAATAAACTCCCTCTCCATACTCCAGATTGTTCCATGAGGCCTGTTGGAAAATCTGTGAAATAAAGTATCTTATTTATATATCTTCTTACAGTTTCTATCAACATTATCACATGATACATCAAAATTGTATGAGATTTATAATGACCTTAGTCACACACTTTTCAGATAGGAAGTTGCTAAATGATTCAAAACAGGACCCCTAGGTGATAAGATAATGAGGCAGGCTTATTTTCATTTGTTTGAAAAGAAACAGATATACATGTTATCATACAAAATCCAATTACAGGAAACACACATATCCAGTCCAACTCCTGGGAACCATAATCCCTGTCAGTACTATAGTGCCCTCCTCTGAAGCATCAAACTTGAGTATGGGAGGCCACCACAGAAGAAAATGGGGAAATATCTATAATATTTAAGTCATCATGGTTATTGATACATCCATTATATCTAATATTATCCAAGCTTTACTTTGTTGAGAAGTTCGTAGCTTAGAGAACACAAAGTGCAAGGCATTTTTTCCTTTGGGTGCTGGGTTTACCTTGCTGAACATTCTCTCCACCTGGAACTGCACAGTCATGTCACTAATACTCCACAATGCGTGGCAGTATTCGGATCAATCTTAATGCCTCTATGTCCCAAATACACAAAATACTACATTCTTTTGTGGCACAGAGTTAAATCTCACTCTGACATCATGTAATTCTCAAAGGCATGCCTTCTCCCATCTTGTTTAGGAAGCATGCTACATCATAGTCTCATAATTGTCCTGTGTAGCTTTACAAGGGAAAATCAGCTTCTGATTTGAGTCTGAAAACTAAAATTCCTGCACCTAATACCTACTGAAGTTCTGGCTCCTTCCTCAGGAAAAAAAAATGAACATCCACAAAGCAAAAAATCAAAAAACAATATTTAAAATGTTTCCCAGTAATATACATGAATACTTCTGCATTCTATTTACTTTGGGGAAACGGGTTTGTAGTTTAAACTCCTTTGAAATGGATTACTGTAGATTGGTCCCAATGCTACTCTAAAAGAAGAGAAAGAAACAGAGTACCAGGAAAAGATAGTGATGACCAAATGTAATGCAAAAGTTAGGAGAGAGCTTGGACTGAGGCAGGTTCCCCAACCATCTGCCTACCAGCAGGCCTGGTCTTCTAACTCTCAGTCCATGTTTTGGCTCCATCTCCACAATCTTGAACTTTGCTGGTCTATAGGTCTTACTTCCTCAATAGCAAGGCCACTTTCATCTGTTTACATCTGCCATGATGATAGGTGGATTATTGATCCTGATATCTAAGGGAAGATAGGATTCCCTGAATTTACCCTTAGTGACAGTGAATGAAAGTTAATGTAAGGCCATTACAGGGGTATCCTGACTTCACCAGGTTACCTTGCTAGGACAACTGAGTTGAGATCAACCAATTTGTGACTTTTACTATCTGCAAGGAAAAGGAATGGAAGTTTGCATTTTGACATAGATGTGAACTGTTACCTCCATTTTCCATGACATACTATCTAAGGTTTCTCATCTTCTTGTATCTACACATGTAGTTATTAATAGGTATCTCCCACACTGGAGTTGTATATAACATATCTAAAGTAGCTGGTATATCCTCTCAAGCACAGTAAGAAACGAATCCATATAAATTCCCATTGTTTCACCAAGTACTATAGTTTTCCATGCCAGGATTTACTCAATCAAATGATACTTAAAAATTATTTCAAAAATTCTTTTCTTGAAGCTATTTATGGTGTTCTAAGAGATGTTATATATATATATATATATATATATATATATATATATATAGTTTGGAATGATTTAGTAAGGCTTATCAACATAACAAACAATTTAATAATTCTGATACTATATACTCAGAGCATCTGAAATTTCCATTAGCAATTCTGAAATATACACTACTAAGTGAGATCAGTGTGATGTATACACACTACTAAGTATGTATACACACTACTGAGATTAACAGAAACACAAGCATCTCTCCACTTTTGTGACTCAACAAATTACATGAAGCCATAGGAAATTTCTCCAGCAGAGACCAGCAAGAGAGCAGCCTCAACCCTAAAACAGAGGAACAATTAATAGTTTCACAGACAGCACTGAACAATACCCAATGAGAATCAGGAGTGGAATGATCTAGGCTCCTGAACTGCAAAACCTGAGTGCCAACATTCATTCAACACATATCCTCAGAGAGTTTCAAGCCAGGACTAAGCTCAAGTTGAATGGCATCCCCTGAAAAAAAGGGAAATTGGGACATAAAGACACACAGAGCCTCACCTTGTGATGATAGATACAGATGGGAGGTATGTATTCACAAGCCAAGAAGTGAGAACTACTGCTGATGGAATGGCCTTAGATCAAGAATACATACCCAAAAGCTCTTGCATTCAGAGGTGGGCATTTGGAAGACTATTTTCTGGGATCATGAAATGCTAAATAATGAACATCTAAGCAAATACGTTACTCATTGCAACAAAGTAAACAATGATTTATTATGATTCAGTGTATTTTGATTCCCAAACTTTTCTTCTTAAGAAAAAATCTAGACCATTTGACATGGCTTATGTCTGTGGCCCCCAGGCCTCATAAGTTTGCACTGTGCACTAGCTTTGGTCTGGAACTTTCTCCATTGTCTCACCCAGGAGTTTTCTAACCACAGATCCAATTCCATACCCAGACTCACAAATCCAAAGCTGGCTGGACTCATCCCAGGGTTTCAAAAGGAGGGTGTTCTCAAATGATTTTGTACGTGTTAGACTCTCCACAGAATTTCCTGCATTATCCAGAAATGAGTTGTCCTCAGAAAAACATTTAAAAACCAAAATGAAGAACACATACAGCAGTGAATGTGAAGCAACAAAAGTAAGTATTTAAATCATGTTACTCAATACCAGAACAGGGCAGCTTAGACCAACAGCCTGTGTGGGGCGGGTGTCACAGACCCAGTTGCACTATCCAGTACCCAACCAACCCAGTCCCTGCCCTTAAGAGAATCTAAGGGTGCAGCTAGACTCAGAGGTGTTATGATCACTGCATCCACTTTTCAATTACCCTGGCTCCACCTTAGAACTTTGCAGCTTCACTCTAATGATCTTTTCTACCTCTGCCTTTGCTGGCTTCCCTTGTGGACCCTGCCTTGGGGACTACTCCCTCTTCCTAAAATGTTATGGCCCTCTATGCCACCACAATACACTTGCCCATCAAGCACTGATGAAACATTGAGTTGGCATCAGATACAGAGCCTAAAACAACTCTTGAGAGCATAGAATGTGTTAGGCCTAGATCATTAGGATTTTGGAGAATTGAATCTCATAATCATATAGGAAGATTGTTAGAAAGCACCACCAATCCAGAAATTAACAGAAGTTCAAAAAGTCTTGTAACATTCAGTGAGAAAACAGGAATGAAGGCAGCTGCCCAGTGTCTTCTGAAACTGTACAGTCAGTCATCCCACTTTCAAGCATGTGTACAATGTAAGAAGTATAAGACCAGCAATACCCTGACTTTCTCAGAATATTTGAGATTTAGAAAATGTCTGGCTCCAGAGCATGCAGCCTGCAGACAAAAAATGAGTCCCCCCTGCAGGGTATAGAGCACCCCAGATCCCACCCTCACCCCTCACTTCCCCCAGTCTTCTCTCTTGACCACACTGCTGCCAGCCACCCCATCTTCTGCTTTTCTTTCAGAGGAGATCATCAGGGATTATGAGGCTAAGACCCTTTCCCATCCCTATATGGCCTTTGTCCAGTTTCTGAATGGACAGAAGATGAAGAGACGTGGTGGTGTCCTGGTGCAAAAGAAATTTGTACTGACAGCTGCACACTGAAAGGGAAGTTGAGGAGGGACAACCAGCCCACATTTGCCAAAAACCAATGGGGACCTCTGTCTTCTACAGGAACTGCAGTAAGGAACGCCTGGCTTTCACAAATCCATGAGAGCTCACCGGAAAGCAGGAAAGGAAGCAAGATCAAAAGTTTCAGCACAGTATCTGAACGTATGATAATTCACTATATCAAGCATTCTAAGATAAATTAATGATTCTGAAAGTGGAAAAATAAAAGGGAGATGGAGGAAGAGGAGAAAAGAAAGAAACTCAATTTGTTATGCACATGTACTAATCTCTTACAGTGGATGTAGTCCGTGTGCATTGCAAACATGTAGTAATATAAGTAAAAAAAATGTTTCTGCCCTGTCTTGGCAAGTTAATTAGTTAGTGAGATACTGTTTCAAAAATAAAAATAAATTTAAAAGGACTGAAAGCTTTAGCTCAGAGCAAGAAAAAGGGTCCCATTCCAATTGCCTTAATGAAGGAAAGAAGACTTGCAAAATGAAAGGCTTAGAAATAAAAGAGGTAATTTTTGGAATCAGACAGTGAGTGTTCAGAACAAGTGACACAGGTGACAAGACATAGCAATAACACTGCCAAGCAAAGCAGGTGTAAGCCTGCTCTGAATAGGTCCTCTGTGGTCTCACATCATAATCCATACTCCTCTCTGTGCAGATCAATAAGTGTCATTCTGGGGGCCCACAACATCCAGAAACAAGAAAAGACCTAGCAGGTAATCCATGTGAAGAGAGCCAATCCACACTCAGAACAATCTCCTAAAACCTTCTCCAATGACATCATGCTGCTGCAGGTGAGGCAAAACTTTCTGCTACTCTATCTCTTCTCCTGCAGGGATCTTTCTCCCCGTGGGTCCCTGCTCTTTTCCTCCTTGCCCTCATGGGAATCACAGTATGTAGGTCCAGAAGGTATAGGGTCTAAGCTAGAGGCTAATTTAGACTATCATGCTTGTTCACCATCAGCTGGAGAGAAAGGCCAAGCAGACTACAGCTGTGCAGCCTCTCAGACTGCTTGAGGCCATGAGCCAAGATAATTCAGGAGACACATGCCTGGTGGCAGGCTGGAGAAAAATCACCCTATTGGGTCCTTTAGCATGCACACTGCAATACGTGGAGACAAGAGGAACGAAAATGCCACTCTTCCATCCATGTCTACACTACTCTCACTGAGTTTTGTGTGGGAGACCCAAGGAAAACAAAGACTGGTTTCAAGGTAAAGTTTCCATTGCCTATAAATACAGAACCCAGGGAAACAGGAACTTGGTGGGGAGATCATAGTGTCTGTATCTCATGCTCTGAGTCCAGAGCTTGAAGGCCTGTCCTCTACAGCAATGCAGTGTTTAATCCATTCCCTGGATAGATAGGAGTAGAGGGTGGGGAAGTAGCAGTAAACTGAAATCAGTGTAATCACTTGAGTATCTCAAGGATTGCACAGAAAGGTTCAGGTAGGTTAATACTGGAAAGTAAAGTCAGGGTGAGGGTAGAGCCTCTGGTCTGAAGGAGACAGCCAGAGGTATCCTGCCCTGATTGCATGCTCCCAGTCCCCTGACAGAGGTCATCCACTGTGGTGAGGTTCAAGGAGCAGCAACAGGAGGAGGTGTATTCCATGCTTTCCTTCTCTGTCCACAGGAGGACTCTGGGGTTCCCGTCATGTGTAACCACATGATCCAAGGCATTTTATCCTATGAAAAAAAGGAAGGGAATCCCCCAGGATTCTTTATGAAGGTCTCCCACTTCCTACCTTGGATAAAGAAGACCATGGAACAGTTATAACAGCAGGCACAACATTGGCCTCCTCTGTGCCTCATCATGTTTACTGAGCCATTAGAAAGACTCACATGGGCCCAGGCCACTGCACAGTGACAATAGATTGATCTGAAGAATGACTGTCCCTGAAGACCTATTTATTTCCTGAACCCCAATGAGCGTGAAGCTGCACTGCTGGCCATTCCTGCTGTGGCTTCCTCTTTTCTCCCCAGCCCTCCCTCTTTCCTTACCTTCATTCCATACTATTCCTCATGGATTGCTCCAACCTATTGTGTTTAATTCTCAGCTCTCCAATGTTGCTTGCTGGACACACAGTAGTGAATCTCAGAATTAAGAGGTGTCATCTTTCTCAGGGTCCCACAAACTTGTACTTCACCTTTCTAAGGTAAATCTCTGTCCTTTAGGAATGTCTATCCATCTCTAAGCCGAGAACCTTCATGAGATGCCCAACAATTTGGCAGAGAATAGAGCAGGGCAGTGGAGAGGGATAATCCTAGAGATTCAGGTGTCAGGGCACTCACTTTCCTGTTTCAGTCCTTCTCCCCAGTGGGACAGGATTCTCTCCACTCAGTGCTGTCTGCTGCTTAGGAGTCTGAGATGGCTCTCAGGAGGACCAGGTCCCACTTCGTGCTCTGCCCTGAGCCAGGAGAAAGTTCAGTCCACTTCTGACCTCACTGCCTGGGTTTTCCACACCAGCCCTTGTCTCTACCTGAGTGCCTCTGGCCATCAGCTCCTTTGTTTTCCAGTTCCCTGCAGAGTTGCCAACTCTATCTGGATTCACCACTATCAGCCTGTTCCAGAAAACTTGCAACTCTCCACTTCACTTGGACAGGGCTGGCTGCATCCTGTTCCAATCCAGCATTCTCCAAGGCTCAGGAATCACCTCTTTTGAAGTCAAAGCAATCTCAGGTCTTTCAGTGTGGCCTGGCTATGGAGTCCAGCGTCCTCTTCCTGGAAGGCATGGATTATTGCATTCTATGAGTCAGCCCAGAGAAGCTTGGCAGGAAGAATCACTTATCCCTCTATCAGCAAACACTCTTCTGATTTGTCTTTTTGTAGCAGGTATATAATAGGCTCTGGTCTCACCTTTGGAAAACTCTCAGGAGTGAGAAATTTCCTCTAAATATCTAACTTATCTCCTTCCACCATCACAAGTCAATTGACCCAAATAGACTTATATGGGAATCCACTAGAAATCTTACTTTGAAAAACTTTAAATTCTCTGCATTCTGTCTTGGTTGTGCATTACAATGTCACATATGTGATATTTATGGTTCCAGAATTGTGTGACACTGAAAAAGCCATGCAGGTGCCCATAACCAGAAATAGCCCAACTGTGGCCCCTGGAGACTTGTTTCAGAGGTGTGGAGGGGATGAGATGCAGCCCAACCAGGTTCTTAAAATACTTTGTCAAAAAGATGCATTAAGTAGGATGATACATGTTGATATACTGCTATGTTCTGTCAGAGATAAATGTTTACAGATAAAATTTAACCCACTTGTTTAAAATATTCCCCCACACTGTAAAATGAGTGTTTCTGATGAGGAGATTTCCCCTTGCACACTCAATTATCCTGCTTTACACAATAAATTACACAGTAACCCATGATTATGGGATGCAGGCTACGTTCCCCAAAAGATGGATTGCAAGTTTCCCAATTTATCTGATACAAGGCTTGTTGAGTTGAGGTGAGTCTGTAAGATCAGGCAATGGTTCAGTTCTGGAAGGTACCTGCATCCTTTCTACTTGCATTAATTTCCTACAAGAGTCTCACAACACAACTAATCTCAAAGTAGGCCAGACAGAGTGGCACATGCCTGAGAGAGGCTGGACAGTGTAGACATGTAGTTCACCTGTGTCCCTTGGAAAAAAAATGAAATGATTTTTTTCTAAGCTTCCAGTTTTTCTCTGTCACAGTGATCCATAGTATTTGTCATTTATAAAGATGATGGGCCCTCCTTTTTTTCTTCTGTAGTGAATGCATTCTCATTATAGAAAATTTAGATAATGAAAAGGTGAAAGTGAGACACATATTCTTGTACATATTTCCTTTTCACCCAACACACACACACACACACACACACACACACACACACTTAATATCAACTTATACACATAGTATTGCATTGTACATATTCCTTCTAACATGAAAGGCTACAAATTTCTCCAGGCCTTTAAATAGCCTTCTAAAATACCACTTTTAGTGACTTAAGAGGGCATTATCGCATGAATGTATCACCATCTATATTTCTCTTCCCCTATTGTTCAGTTTTTGGATTATCTAAGCATTTTGACAAGAAGGTCTCAGGCATATGTTTACCTCCTCTTCCTTTTTCACGATACAGCAAGGCTCTTTCTGGGGTGCAAATGATGGGCAGGCAGAACCAGTGGTGTGGAAAATTCCAAAGCAGCAGTGAGAATAAACCCAGCAATTGGACCGTGGACTTGAACCTCTGCAAGCAGAGGATTCTGCCCCTGCTCTCCCATCCTTGGATCCCAGATCACCACCTCGGGCCTTGGACCTCCACCTTGGACCCCGGACCTCCACCTCAGACCTTTGACCTCCGCCTTAGAGGGCAGTCACTTCTGCACCTGCCCTGATTCCCTGGGACCTCAGACCTCCACCTCAGTGCCAGACCACTTCTGTTCCTATCCTCCCACCCTTAGATCCTGGATCTACACCTCAGAGAGTGGTCGCTTCTGTGCCTGTCCTCCCACATTTGAGAACCCCCCAACTTCTGATCCTAATGTGGCTATTGATCTTCAGCTGCACTTCCTCCTCCCAGAACTCTGGACTGCATTGGATTAGCCTTTGGTTACTGATTCTCTCGTTGGGTTAATAAGAGAATCAGTAACCAAAAAGAGGACCTCAGCAGGTTTGCACCAGTATGGTAACTTTGCCTCTGAATTAGAGGTGTTCAGGTCTTCAATTCAAAAGATCATGAATACCTACTTTGAAAATCTTTCTCATGTAGGATGGAAAATACAGAAGAATTGCATGATTTAAAGAAACATATGAAACACAAGAGCTCAATCAGGAAGATTTCAGTAACCCAATATCAGCTTTAGAATTTTAAAATGTCATTAAAAACTTACGAACAAAAAAAGGTCTATGTGCTGATTGATTCATGGCTAAATTCTACAAGAAACTTAGACAAGATTTAAATCTAAAAATCCTCAAATGCATTAATGAAACTGAAAGGGAAGCAATCTTCCCTACCTAATTCTGGGAGGCAAGTATTCTCTCATACTAAAACCAGAGAAAGACTCAATCAAAAGGAACTATAGTGCAGTCTCACTAATGAACATTGATGCAAAGGTTATCAATAATATACAGAGCAAATATAATGCTACAAATCATCAAGAAGATTATACTTCATGACCAAGTGAGGTTTATCCCAGGAATACAGGGATGGTTTAACATATGCAAGTCAATAAATATAATACACCACATCAACAGATCCAAAAACAAAAATTAAATGATTATCTCAATAGATGCAGAAAAAGCTTTCAATAAAATCCAACACTTGTTCAAGATAAAAAGTAACCAGAAAATCAGAAGAGATGGTGTCAACCTCAATCTGAAAAAGGACTTCTATGACAACCCATCAGCCAACATTATTCTAAATGGACAAAAACTGAAAGCTTTTACTCTAAAAACAGGAACAAGGCAAGGATGTCCATTGTAAGCACTCCTATTCTAAATAGTCATGGAAATGCTAGCCAGGACAATCAGACAAGGGAGAAAAACTAAAATGAATAAAGGCAGGAAGTGAAGAAGTTAAATTATCACTATTTGCATAAAACATGATATTCTACATAGAAGACCCAAAGAACTGCATTAAAAGAGTACTAGAAGTAATAAATAATTTCAGCACTATAGATGGATACAAAGCAATGCTCAAAAATCGATAACATTTCTCCACACAAAAAACTCAGAGAGATAAATTATGAAAATATTACCTTTCACAATTGCATCTAAAAATTAAATACTTAGGAATCACAAGGTAGAATGTAAAGGACCTA